GTAATCAGTAAAGTAACGGGATTACTTTTTTGGGGAAGTAATCAGTAATTAGTTACTGATTACTTTTTTCAAGTAACTTGACCAACACTGATACCGAGGCTTAGGGAGGGGCAGCCATCTGCTGTTTGATTGGCTTGACTGGCAGGGTTGGGGCAATAAGACAGAAACAAGGAGCAACATACAGAATAAAGCAAACTAAAAGAGAAAGTAGAGAGAAGCTAATGACACGGAGCAGTAGCATAGAAACTCATGGGAAGTGAAAAGAGGAAAAAGTAGAGGAAACGCTCAGTGCATCATGGAGGGTGTAGGAACCACAAGCATCCCTGCACTCTGACAACAAAGTTCTCTGCTGAGATAATATAAAGTCTTTAAAATAAGGATTTTAAATTCAGGAAGCCACTGAAGAGTAGCTAATATGTAAGAAATATGATTTCTCTTTCTTGTTATGCTGGATCCACCGAATGCTTTTCAGGGAGCCTTCAGGACGACCAAACAACAGCAGTTTGTGTCTAGAAGTCACATATGCTTTTTCAGCATTAATCTGAGAGTAATTTTCCTAATTTCGTCAGCACTGGCAGATAAAAGAAGACAGTACAAGGCATGGAACTGCAAAGAGCTCTACAGGTATATAGATAAACATGTGCTCTATTATGTAACTAATCACTGAGACATCAAGGATTTTGTTTAAGGGAGAACAAACAGGTTGCTGATCCACGCCTGAATACAAGCATGCTGCCCTCTGGAGACTTACACTGCTACTATCATGACTAAAAATATTCCTCATTTGGTGTAAACACAATCTAATGATAACAAAATAGGCAAAATGATTCACATCAAATGTAGAAAAACACCTGTTACCTAATGGAAAATACTATCAAAAGTGAAAACAGCCAATAAAATGTGAGGCACTGTCGGCAGAATGAGATCATTGTGAGATCTGGACAGCGTCTACAAGCAGTTTTAGGCTGCTTTATGTTCTATATGTAAACTTAGTATTTTGTTTTTAAGGTAACAACTTGTGTTATAATGAAAACATTAGAGGCAACATTGTGTTCGCACATACTACAGCGGGGTTGCTAACACATGTGTAGACATAAGCTGCTGGGATACTTCACAGAAACTTGGTGTTTTTAGCTAACCAAAATGCATTTCCTTAGCATTTTAGCTTTCTGTTGCTTATCATGGGACTCAAACGTTTTCCCTCTAGTTAGCATGGCTTCAACAGTATTGCACACTTTGTTCTGCTTTTATGGGGGGATGGTGTGTGTTTTATGCGTTATATGTGTGTGTTTCTGTAGCTCAAGTCGTCTACCAGAGGCCTGACAGTTTGAGGGTCCTGTGCTGTATCTTGGCTTTTCGTGTGTTTGCACTCTTCTGGATAGAGACCACTAACGTTCTGCATGGAGTCTGCTGGAGCCACTCTTCCAGTTTCAGGGTTACAGCTCATAATGCTCCTGTTACCAATGGACTAGCTTCTGCATCTGCTCCACTTGTTCCTTTAGTCCCTGGTCCTTTTCTACTTTCTCGTCCTCCTTCTTCCTGAAGTTGCTGTCAATCATCACTATGGTTGGCCAGCAGCTGTTTGTCTGTCTGGAACTTAAAGTCCCACAGTACACTAGCCCTGTTGTTCTAAGCCACCTCTGGTAGCATCTCCCATGAGGACCTAGAGACTTCTATATGCAGGACAGGTGTTCCTGTACACTATCCCAGAGGTTGTGATGCTCAGTGTCCGCAGTTATGGCTTGTCCTGCCACTATGTGTTGGATAGTCCCCGGTAAATCTACCTGGGAAGATGTTAAGACACCCCTGAATGCTTCAGACAAACAAACTGCCAAAACTGTTTCCATATGGAAACAATAAGGGTGTACTTACTTTCTCACAGGACTGCAAAAAGTCTTCTGAAAACGTTCTTTTTCATCATAACTATCATCACAAGGAAAGAAACTAAGTTGAATCCTTGGCCATCAGATCAATGAACTGGTTAATGAAGTGACTCCCTGGATTTACAGCCCAGATATTGAGTCTATCACATATTGCGATGTAGAGTACATAAACATGGGTTATCTTGAGGAGCAGACACGGACGTGGCCTGTCACTCAGACAATCTCTACACCTCACATCAAGCCAGTGAGATGTTTTTATACGTTTACATCTCTTTGCTTCTGTGTTTCTTTTCTCCATAAATACATGTCCGAGAAAACAAATCCCTTGCCATCCCAAACTCTTGCCCTCCCTCGTATAACTGACATAGAGATGGGCGATATCAGCCAGCGCTCTCTCCTCCACAAGCCTTTTGCAAAGGCACGGGAAGCTTTTGATTGATGATGTTCATTTTCCAAGCTGTGTCTTGGACACTTTAGCTGCATACGACCCACTTCTTTTGGGCTATATGTTTTTAATTTAACATCCAGACGTGTCAAAGTCTGGCTTGAAGATGGATGAGAACTCCTCTACCTCTGCTGGCAGGTTGAAAGAGGAAAACTGAGTGGGAGGGGTGGAGTTGTAGTTGGGGTGGTGGTGGTGGAGGAGGGGGGCTGAATAGTAAGATACAGAGTGTACAAAAGCTGCCTTATAATGAAAAAGAAAGGAAAGTGAGTGCTGCCGACGCTGTCCAGACTGCTGACAAAGGCGGATGAGATGAGAGACAAAACGAGTGAGCAAGAAAGAGGAAGACAGAGTGGAGGAGAATTGAAATAGAGAGACAAAAGCACAACTGGCATTTTGGGGGAGAAGAAACTTTGTGGGAGATGGGCGAACAATGATGGTAAAAGTGGAAACAAAGAAAGATAGACAAAGAAGAGGAAGAGTGCACACATTTCCCTCGTAGGGGATGATAGTTGTAACAAAAGCTTTTTTTAAATCACAGGCAGGGCTACAGTGAAACTCATTTTCTAACGAATTTGGATTCTATTCGTTTGTAGAGGAATTATTGAAGCAGAAAACTGAAGTACTTTAGAAGTCTCCAGTTTTGCACACAAAGTTTGTAGCATACTTGGTAAAAAAAATACAATAAAAGGTTCTTTTTATGGTTCTTGTTTGCATTCTTCTGCAAACACGTGACATCAGTGCTTCCTCACTTAACATTTTATCTTTCTAGATGTTTGATTAGATGTCTTACATTCTTCTCAGAAATTAAAAGTCAAACTTGCATCAAATAGATAATCCATCATGTGTGTGTGAGAATTTGCAGTAAGCAAGCGCAGACTTTTCAGTTATGCTACGATAAACAAATACACCCAGACGGCAGACACATTTAGGCTACACAATTGGGGGCTACTCTGTGCCGTGACGTGACCACAAGAAAACTGCAAATGTTGGCAACATTTGAGCTGTATTTGATGATACTGGTATGACAAATGGAAGACGAGCAGATGATCAGATTTCAGCTCGTATGAAAAGTAAAGAAGATGCCATTACTGCACTGGGATCTCTCTACAAGTTGAGAACACTTTTTAACAACAACGCAGGGAGGACTCGTCTCACTACAGGAGCACTGGGCAGAAGTAATTTAGCAGAAAAGACTTTGTTCTGAACAATAAAGCCACAGAAAATTTGGTTAACAGAAGTCAGTCTCACAGTGCCTCATTTGCAGCTGCCTAGCTTAACAGTAGAAGACGAATATAACATCCAGGGCTCGAAAGCAACGCAGGCACAGAAGTGCCTTTAACCTTAATGTCCACCAGGAGGCTTCCAGTTCAATAGAAGTCTACGGGAAAATGGGCTTGACTTCTGTAAACACTTTCCTAATGAGTTTATGAGCTCACTTACTCATTTCAGGTCATACTGAGTAAAAAAATCTCTAAATCATCTTGGTGGCGCTAAGTTTCAGAAAGCGACTGCGGTAATGGTGCTGCAGCCAGTGGACACACAAATCAGTCATCGGATAGACGACTAGTTCATGAATATTTTACTAACAATTTTGTCTAGTTGCACCTCAAAGACTGGATATTGCCAGCATTTCTTGATGAAACAAATTTCCCTTCATGCAGCCTTATCCTAAGAGGGAAATACAAAAGAAATGGTTTTACCTGGAAAGCCAATGAGCAACACCGTGTCGTGTACTGTGAAGCTACACCAGACAGTGCTGACATTTAGTTTACAGGCCAGTGAAGATCTGTGCCTGTAGTAGCCATAAAGAATTCTCCCATAGACAGGATCTGGTGGGAGTCTGGGGGCTGGGGGGAACAGAAGGGTTGTGTGATGAGTTCATGATTAAATGAGATTAGTTAATGATTACCTAATGACTCGACAGGCGACCCCAGCCTCATTTACTGACCAGCGACTTCCCCTGCACACTCTTATTTGGCATCATGAACACAATAGGTTAGTGTGCTCAGACACAGCCTAATTACGTTGACTGTGGATGCTGTCTCATTTCAAACCTCATATTTAAAAGAGTAAACCCCCAAAAAACAAAACAAAAAACCCACCTCCATAAGTTTACTTTAATCTGAGCCAGTTTAGGTTTTTTTCTTTGCTTTCCCACCCTTTCTGTCTCGCTTTTAGACCGTCTGCATTGCTTACAGTCCATGTTTCATTCAACAACTCTGTTCTGTACCTTTCAGTAAAATCAAACCAAATAAAAAGCACTCAAAGGAAATCAGCAAAGGCTCCCGTGCCTTGACCATCCATTTGGTCTCACTGTAGAGGTTAAAACACAGTGCTTCAACTGATTCTATAAGGCAGCCTGCTGAGTGACTCAGGATCCATGAGCATTTCCTATGTATTACCGGGTGAAAGTGAAATTGACAGAGTGAAGAAGAAAGCTTCTGGAAATATATTTTGAGTGTGGGCTGCCCTTTACAGGACTTAGTTTGTTGTCTGTTGCTTCTAAAATTCGAAGCGTGCAAAGTTACAGCTTATCTGCTTTGACCTCCAAAAGTGGACTTTTTAGAGACTTCAAAGAGTTTTTGTGGTTTTTGTTTTTATGTTATTTTGTTCCTCAATTATTACTGAACTGCAGTGGAGAAAGCACATTTTGGTGTTTTCCACTTAAGCCAAGTTTACAGTATATACATATTGTTTGTTTGTGTGTAGCTGAAGCTGGTAGAAGACACTTAAAGTGAAACACTGAACATGAAATATAGGAGTTACTACCATCACATAAACTCATCTGTTAACCTTTTTTAAAAAGTTAGTTTAAACAAAACAACAACTTCTTTACAAAACAGAGAAAGTCACATTTGATAAAATGAAAACAAAAGCGAGTCTCATCAACAGCAGACAGAACCAGGCAGGACTGACTGTATATAGACTTAAA